TTACACACGTAAAAGTGGATGAGGAATTGTTAGAATAACTGGACAGGCAAGTGGAGAGGAAACCAGAGGAGATAGAGAAGAAGCTGAAGGGAAAACTAAATGTCAAAGCATGCACATACAGCAGAATATACGAAAGGAAAATGTATAAGAAGAGGGAGTAAGGAGACAGGAAAGGAGGAGGGAAGAGAAACTAAACAACGAGGACAGCTTGATTATGTGAATAATATCATGGTTTTCTTCCTACATATTTTGCAGGCTCTTGGAGTATTATTAGTCACTATATATTACATCCGAAAATATGAAAATGTACAAATAGTGCAATAAATAACTTACTTACTTATATACTTACTTCTTTAATTGCTTATTAAACATCTATATTATTTGCTACGAGAAAGAATAAAAAAGAAGTTTGATAATCATGTTACTAATGGCAAGTTCTTACGAAGATATATTATACCTACAGTTCTATTCTTTTCTTTTATTTTCATCTGGTATATTTACTTATTGTGTAATAAGAGAGTGAAGTATATAAGTTACCTTACTTTTGTAATTGTGCAACACAACAAAGCTTGTATTTGTATTTAAAAAAAAGTATTTGTCTTTTATGCTGTTTCGTAATTATTTAAACTATCGATTAAGATTTTACGCTAAAACAGAAATTTTTAGAAAAATTATTAATTTTTTGTTTATAAATTCTTTCTAATTATATAAATAACTGATAAATCTTTTACTAGACGATAGTCCTCATTAAAAGAAACAACTTCTGTTTGAAAACTATTTTTCTATCTTTTATAATTTGCGAGTTATAACACAAAATCGAAAAATAGCTGAATTTTCAGCGGTTATTTTACACACTTAGAGTCAATTTGGATGGTAAAAAAATTAATAAAAAATTTCATAATTTTTTAAACATTCAGGTTGTGGATCTTTTCTATAAGTTAAAGTAAAGTGTTTGATCTTCTCAAAATACTCGATTTCTTACTATAGATTAAACATTACAGATTATAGATTAAACGTAGAAAGATAAATATTACACAGATTAACTATTTGCTTCTTCCTTTTAACATAAATAACATAATGAATATCGAATAAATAATAGTTTTGCATTTAAGCGAATCGAACAATCAAATGTTAAATTGATGATACGAATCTGTTAAAACCGTTGAATACAATAGGAAATAAAAAAACTCAATTGTACGATAAAATTAATGTTGATGTATATTGATTTTATGTGATAAATTCGACCCGTTTTTGAAATTGTTTGCAACGGATATTTGTTAGAATATTAATTAAGCAAAAACTAAATACAAGAAACCAAATGTGTGCTTAAGTAAATTAAAGTGGTTCATTTAGATCTATATAGAAATTTAGTATCGTGATAACAAGTATTACTGAATTTCATATATCTTAATCCGCTTATATGATAAACTTAAATTATTTGTCATTCTACTCTCAAAACATAATCAACTTTTCACTTATTCAATTATGGAATAATATAATTATCTAACAGCATAATTATACGTGTGTTTCTTGTAAACAAATTAAAATTAAATTATGTTTAAAAAAGATAATAATAAGTATCTATACAATGATGTAAATTAATATGAAAATTAATAGACGTTTCGTTTCTATAACATTATCTGTATCTTCAAAAAATGATAACACCATTTCCCTTTAATATATCATTGATATTTTTTTACGTATAATATGAACATTATAGAATTCTTATTAGTCTATAGATTATCGTTAAAGCTTTTGATAAAAGATTGTAGGAAACAAAAACAAACAAAATTAAAACAAAAATTAAGTGATTACTTTTTTTGAATTTAAAGAGTCGAAATAATCTACTTTCATACATGTAGGCAACTAACATTTTGTTATACTGATAAAAAATATTATTAAAAATATTATAATATGTAACAAATAAACATATTGAAACATTAAAATATATGTAAATAATTTTTTTTATTTATCTATTCACAAAACAAGTAAAACAATTTATGTATAAAGTTTAATCATCTTTTAGATATATAAATATTTATAGTAACCATTATTATTTTCTAAAATATTAATAAAAGATGAAGATTGAAATATTGATAAAACTTACCTATCACCAGTGAATTCGATGATATATTTTTGGTTCATACGAAATTCCGAATCTTTGTATCCCCAACCATTCCACTTGAGAACTTTTTGCCTTTAAAAATTCAAGAAGATACGGTTATTTGACACATACTGTCACCATTTGGAATTTTGTCTTGGAAAAAGATAAAAGAGAAATCGAATAGAGATTCGTACATCTTTGGCGCGCGCGTTTCTCACACCACGTGACTGGTCAAGCAACCAATCGGTAGGAACAGAAACAGTATTAGCCTCTCATATAGTAAGTTCCTACCCGGTAAATGAATCGAAATTTTCATCATCAAAAATACTAAGTAATAACAAAAATGATAAAAGAAATTAATCATTCCGATGTTTTCGTTGTTTGTCACACAAACAGGTCGTGATATTCACAAAAGAGGTCACAATTGTCACAGTAAGGAAAAAAAATCGATCGATTTCTTTTCTCTTTCACGCTCGAATAGTACTAGGGGTGCTTTAGATTCGCAACATCTGCCGATGAGTCAGCTAGTGCTGGGTTCGAGGCGTGGCTGCAAGTAATTTAGCAGTATCCACGCTCTCGTACAATACTTCATCGCGATATTGTCCCTGGTGTCCGCACCGAAGTTTTTACGAATTGATATGAACCAGAAATTGCCGGTACAAAACTGACCTTTCTTTTGGCACAACACTCTGGAAACGGATGGGTCCATTTAAACTCTCCGCATCCTCGTTCGTATCGTTTTTCGTATTAGACGACATATCTTTTATTGACCGCACCGCGAAGGGCCTAACCTTTTAGTCCGCAGAACACGATCAGTAAAGAGTAGATGCTTGAGCGCGCGCTCTTCGCGGCACTGTGTTGACTATTGACACGCGCACCGGCAAACCAAATTTAAATCAATAGAGCCCCCGCCCTATGACTACCCGCCTACCGACGGATCTCTTCGTGAAAGGAACCAATCATTTACACCAGATACATTCTCGCCGTAAATAACCAATGCTTTCTTCCACCTCTGTTCTCTCCGATGCTGTTACGTTCTACTAGATTGGGGGATTCTTTTCATGTAAAGGACTTCTTACGCATGCGCAATTAGATATTTTATAGGATGGTTTCATAAAGTCACTTCCATGCTATGTTTGCTCGAGTATTATTCGTATGTAATTAACACAATTGTGGAAGATACAACCAAAACACGTTAAATGATAATATTTTGAGTATTTTAAGATAATTAGATGCTTTAGGGTGTACTATCTATAAACGTTATTTCAATAATACAAAATGTGTTAATATAATTAAATTATAACCTAAATACCAGTAACGCCGCGTTTACTGACCAGGGAGTTTACTGTGTTAGCTAACCATCGCTGCCACCATAAGTGGCTTTATAAAGAGACACTGATATGTATTGTAACAGACTACCGAGACTACTAGACTGTATTTTAGTAATGTGTTAAATAAATAAAAAGAAACGGTAATCTTATAGAATAATTATGTTAGAAACTATTAATAAGTGTAAAAAAACTTCAAATAAAAGATACTAACTTTCATTTTGTGCAATACATTTTTCTTTACTTAAAAATAAACGATTCTTTTTAATCTTTATTAAGAAAATATTCCTGAAATAAAGTATACATAATCTTCCATGAATTATAACTATTTTAGAAGTAATTTCTTAAGTAGTATATTGTAGTACACCTTATACTTGTAATATATGTGTCCTCAAAATTTTAACAATATCTCTAACAAAATTTCTATGTATTAAGTGAACAGTATTGACGTATACAGTAAGCTTTAAAAACTTCTATTTTATACATACTTAGTCTTTAATTTTGTAGTATCTCCTATGTAAATTATGAAATGTATTTTGCAAAATTCTGTCATCTGCGAATGCTCATCTGATTATTTTCTTAAATTAATAAAATGTTGAATAACAAAATTTTAAATAGTCTTGTTTTTATATTAGTTCAATTATTATTTTACATTATTTTTTGTTATGTAGACAATCTAAAGAACTGTAAAATATAATTCTTACCGATATAACCTAGAACTAATATATATTCACACGTGCACATGGCGCCACACATAAAAATGCAACCGAAATTGCTCAATGTGAATAGAACGCGGAATCAGCCAAAGAAACGCAAGATTACTCTTGTATTTGATGAGAACAAGAGACGGTACTTATATTAATATCAATTGTAGATTATATAGATTATAAGTTATATGTACATTTTATATTTTTAAATGCAGAGAATTTCTGAAGGGGTTTCGTAAAAGGAAATTACAAAGGCAACAGAAAGCTAAAGACGAATTGCAACAACAATTAAAAGAAGAACGAAAAAGAATTAAACATGAGGAAAGTATTCATATGAATTTTATTGTGATGCAATAATAAAGTATTGCTTTTACAGGCACGAGAACGTTATAAAAAGCTATTATCAAGCCGTGATGTTCCTGAAATTCAACAACTACTATCTCAAGAAGAATATGAAACAGAAGGACATACTGTCAGTATTTTGGAATTAAATGTTGCAGATCTAGCAGAGAAGAATGCATTAATTGGTGAAAATAAAGGCACTGATGAAGTGGAAAGTAATGAGACAGAAGAGAGTGATAAAGATTCTGAAAATGATGAAGAAATTGTAGGGATGCCTTTAAATGAAAAGAAACAAACTAAAAGTTTGAAAGAAAATGTAAAAGAGAAGCAAATTGACAATAGAAAAGATTTAAAGAAAGCAATAAAAAGAGCTGCATTGAAACAAGTGAAGAAGAGTAAAGCATTCCAACAAAAGCAGAAAATGGAACGTCAAAAGAATAAGAAAGAGAGTATGAGGAAACGTAAAAGAGTTGAAAAAGCTAAGAAACGTAGTGGGAAATTAAAAAAAAAGTTAAATCATTAAATCATCTCACAAAGTTCTTTTTTAGATATTGTAAATAAATATAATTTATAATAAACATTTTTACAATACTATGTCTTTTTTTTCATACTGCTTTTTGTGCTAGATGGACATATATCTTTATTTAGGCATTCATCACATTTAGGAAATCGTGGTAAACAAATTTCTTGTCCAAATCCAACAAGTAAATAGTTTACCTCGCTCCAGAGATCTTTGGGAAGCCATTCTTCCACTGCAATTCGAGTATCTTCTGGTATTTTAGTTGATTTCTTTACCCATCCTAATCTATTACAAATACGATGTACATGTGTGTCCACTCCAATACCGGAAACTTCACCCCATGCTATTTGCATACATATATGTGACATTTTTGGTCCTACACCTGGTAATTGACATAACTCTTTCAGAGTCCTAGGAATATCACCATTGTATTTCTCAATTAAAATTTTTGAAGTTTTCTTAATATACTGTACTTTTCTCTGAAAAGTAAAATTTCTTTTGGTCTGACATACTATTTAAGTAATTCTTTACTTCTTTAACATCTAATAAAATCTTTTTTATGATTTTATACTATTTTAATATATCTTACTTACATGATAATTAAGTATTAACAAACCACAATATTAAGTTCAAGTAATTACTAAGATATAAATTATACCTTCCAAAATCCAACTGGATATATAAGTTTTCCAAGAGTATCATCAGGAGTACCTGATATTAATTCTGGAGTACAACCATAAGTAATCAATCTTTGCATGGCAGCATGAGTAACTTGATCCTTAGTTTGACTACTGAGCATCAATGCTATTAATGATTGATACCTAGCAACTTTGGCAGTAGCATTTGGATCTATACATTTGTGACAACCCATCTCATCTACAGGTGCTGTTTTATGTTTTCGCATTTCCTTAACATTTTCTAAAATAGTTTCCCAATTTAATGGCATCCATTTATCTTCTACGGTCTCATTTTTCACAGTTCCATCTTGTAAATCTTCAACTTTAACTTCATTGGGTTTTGACTCAGTTGCATTTTTCATTTCTTCATATTCTATCTTTACTGGTGTGCGCTTTTTTTTCACGGTTTTATTTTGTAAATCTTGAACTTTAATTTCGGTATTTTTCGAGTCGGTTACATCTTTCATTTCTTCATACTTTATTTTTACTGGTGCACGGTCTTTTTTCACGGTTTCATTTTGTTGTAAATCTTCAATTTTAATTTCACTATTTTTCGAGTTAGCTGCATCTTTCATTTCTTCATGTTTTATCTTAACTGGTGTATGCTTCTTCTTCACAATTTTTTTTGGTGAAGCATCTTTATCATCAAAATAGCCCGATGTTGTAGATATATTTTTACTGTCACCTTTATTTTCAGATCGTAAGGACCTTGGCTTTGTAAGGACATCAAGCTTTAACTTTTTACTCATTTTATAAAGGTTACGACGCGATGAAGTATATATTAGAGCTCTACTTGAGATAAACAAAAGAATGTCATGTCGGCAAACAGCAATATAATTCAAAGATAACATAACCTTCCGCGCTTCTTCCGTGATTTGAACTAATAATTTAAATTTAGCAATATAAAAATTGATGATCTATTTATACTCATCAAATGCGTATATAAATACATACTACCAGATACTACTAATAACTACTAATTAAATATATATATTAAATGATTATATTAAATCAAATATGTTGTATTTATATAATAAAATAAATATAATATATTGTAAATTGAAGTCTATTGTTATATTTTCAAAAATCCGTACACGCGAAGAAAAAGTGGAATAATAAAGATTTAATAAGACTATATGTCATTTTTTAATTATTTATTTTTCTTATTTAATAAAAATACTTACATAAATGAATGAATAAATCATTAACTAATATAGTACGGATTTCACATAAATCATTGAAATAATATTATTGTTAATGCATATTCATTCTGTGGTAGCATTGAATCCAGACAGATACTTATTTAATTTCTTTGTTTTAAATATTCATATTTGTGAAGTGTTATTTTAACGAATTATATTACATTATAACGAATAAAATAGATCAATTAAAAAAAAAAGGAAAAAATGAAACTTATATATAAAAAAATGCGTGATAGACAAAAATTTAATGATATTATTTTATACAATGGAAATTGTTCTTTTGTTTTGTAAATGCAATTTCAAATTTAAGTAAAATTATATATATAAATAAAGATTATTATTTAGAAATTTCAATAATCATTTAAAATTTGTAGCTGATAGTCAGAATGGCTTAACCACAGATTATCTTATATATACATAATATTACCCAGTCTCAATAGATATACGAAAAGTCAGTAAAACAGAGTCCAAAATTTCATCAGAATGTTAAAATACTTATATTGTAAAAAGTATTTATATGTATATTAGTATATATATATATATATATATACTAACTAAATTGCATGCAATTAGAAGTATTAACTATAAATAACATAAGTATAAAAACGATAAAGTAATATAACAAAAATTGTGCAGTGTATTTCCCTTCACTGCTCCATATCACAACCATACCAATTTATTTTGAAAAGATGGGATTACTTTGTATTATACTTTATGTACTTTATCCTAATATATACACATACCTTTATTTTCCTAATACCACCTTGTGTTAGAGCTCATTTTTTCCCATATACATACATATAAGGTGAGCAAATAGTTTGTTACAAATATTGTCAGTCATACTTAATGCTGCCATCATATTAAACTGGGCAGAATAATACAAAATATTGTTTGTTTATACATGCATTCATAACTGGCCAATTCAGACCAATAATGTGCTAATATAAATTACTATTATATCAAGACAACCGATATTAGTATTACTATTAAACATGCTATGTATTTAAATAATAATCAAAATAATATATTTTTTTAAATAGCTTATATTGCATTGTAAATAAATTCTTCTAAAATTTACTATATGTAATATCTGGATTCAATGCTTATCTAACATATTACCAATGATAATGGACGGAGTGGAGGAATGCATAGATACAAACTAAAAGGTAAAATTTAAGAAAAATATGGTAAATGATATGTTACGCTATGACTTGTGCTGATAATTCACGGAAATAAAATTTCTTACATTTTAAAGTCAGGCAAAAGTGTTCAAATAAATTTATATGTATCGTCATCAAATAAAATTACTACTAGAAAAGATAAAGAAAGAATAATTCGCCTGTGTAAATAAACCACATAATTCACAAAAATGACAAAAATTGTGATTAAGGTTGGTTCACATAAAATTAAAAGAATGTTCGCATCGTGTGTTCTTACTACACATCGACGCATTTAACCTTTGTACTCAACCGGGAATCTGATTAGCAATGGTATTAGGACCAGTGGAGACAACCGAAGGAATTGTAGAATCCTGCATTAAGGTACGCGTTTCTTCTTCCTGATCAGAAAGTGGTATTGCTGGAGTATCATGCGAACTTGTCTGCTTCAGCTTCAGTTGACTCGGCAACTCCGTTAGTACCGGCCCGTACTGCGAAGTGGAACCCACCAGCAAGTCAGTTGATGGATTCAAACCGCCCAACATCTTTCCTCATAGCAACGCGTATATAAGATAAAGAAACGTACGAGCCAAAACACACATGGATGGCTTCCGGTAAATAAAACCAAACATAAAATATAAATCTACCAAACAAATTGTGCCTACCTGACCACTACTTCCAACCATTCCACCTCTTGGAGATTTACCACGACGGAAGAAACGCAGCCAGGCCCAACCGAAACCCAATAGAAGCCCTACTAACATCATGCTAGCACCTAATGCTATGGAACTTTTTGCAGCATCTTCAATATGTTCTTCAACGCTTGTTGCAGATGTAGTTGGATTCTCGTTTACCTTTATGTATAATTATTTTTGAATTTAGTTTCATACATTAGGCAACAAAAACACATAAATAATTGATAAAATAATTTACTTTAGAAGCATCAAAAAGTCGATTTTATACATTTTTATAAATATATTTTGCATGAAAATGCATAAGCAATAATGATAGTATTTTGTGTCCTTCTTATTTAGCCTTATACAGAGTTGACCATTCAACTGGGGCTGGCTGTAGCTCTGATTTTGTTGAAGATAGAGAAAAATCGTGGAGAGAAATATTGAATGTACAAAATCTATGTTCACAGGTATTTGTTTCCTTTCAATATGCAACGTTGCACTAGAAAACTGCAATTACATTCTTTTTCTAAGTGGAATTCTATAATTTTTTATAATCATTCAATTCTCTATAAAGGTATTAAGATATTTGAAAATATCCTTAGTTTAGAAGATACTTTAATTTTAATTTCATCAAATTTAGTTTAAGAAAGATAAGGAAAACATAAACGCAAGCATTCTGCCCTGTATGTTTCCTTGTTTCTCATAATCAAAGTTTCACAAGATTAAATTTGAGATATCTATTAAACTAAGCATATTTTGACCCAAAGTACCTTGACATTTTCTCGTAGAGTATTAAAAAATAAATATTAATGAAAAGAATATTAACTGGTTAATAAAAAATTATAGACTTCAATTTGAGAAAGAAGTGCAATTGCACTTTCCTACTGCATTGCATTCTAAAACAAAAGTGAGTTCTCTCTATAATTTTTCTCTATCTTCAGTGAAATCTGAGCTTGGTTGGTGCTTGAAATTGTGGTTTACCCTGTATATTACTATATCAAATATATACATATGTATGTATAATATATATCTATAATATATATGTATAATAAAGAAGATAATAAAAATAATGAGCAGATATGAAGTATTAAAAGTCAATTTTATAATGAATATTTATGTTTTATTACTATTATTATAAAATATTCTTTAATAATGAAAACCAATGCAAAAAAATTATTTTCCTAGAATGTAAACCAATAGAAATTTTTTGGAATAAAATAAAAATTACTGTCAGCTTTTAAATACCAAAGTAACAAGACACTTGTTAATTAAAGTAAGGCTATGTACTATGTATACATCATGCATTTACATATTTTGAATACAAAGACAGATCATGATTTCATTTAAATATATGTCATGCTGCTATCATCTATCAGAGATTAAGATACTCATAAATACGAAACATCATAGTGTAAGAAGGTTATAAGTACCTTTCTTATGATCTCTATTTTATTTTCTTGTGATGTGTCATCGGATACAAAACTGACCAGCATCATCGTTAAACCAGCAATGAAAAAAGATAAAGCAACCGAGAGTAATACCCATTCGAACCATTTCCTAGAGCTGAGTTTATGTCTTGATATAACTCTCCAGAAACCACTTCTTAAACTGCTACCACCTACAGCACCGTCACCTCCGCTATCATATGTGTAACCTACTGTTGTAGGTTGATAAACAGCACCACTATCTGGCATATCTTCTCGCGAAATATACGCAATTTTTACAATTTTCTCGGCCCACGGATGGGCACTTTATAATCACGCGTAAAACTTTTAGTTAAATCTATTGATAGGAGATGGGTAAAAAAATGGTATTACCCAATACAACGCACAAAGTGATATTATTCCGTTGTTAACGTGTCAACTTTCGATCAATGCTTCTAATTACTTCTGAACTTTTATTTCGTGCACTGTAATGGTAATTTTTCACCCTTTTCTTGGTATATACACACGCATATGTATATATATATATATATATTCGCAATGCAGATACAATGTGCAACTATGATCAGGTATGACATACAGATGCCCAGACGTCATGTATCAAAAACCTACTACGTATGTCATAGATATCACGGATTAGAGTTATACCAGTGATATCAATGTTAGAGATTATACTATAGCCGCATGGTGACACCATAATCGGATTTCATACGATTACATATTTGATAATTACAGATTAATTTTGAGAATAATAATAAAATAATTACTAACTCTGTAAAAGACATTATACGAACTTCAAGATTGTTCTACTGATGAATTAATGAGATAAAATTCTCGTAAAAACGAAATAATTTCCAAGCTGCGTAATAGATTTTTATTAAACGAGATTTTTATTAGAACATAATATAGTAAAATATAAAAGATAATTAACGAAATGTCCATAATTGTTATTGTAGTTAAATAAAAAAATATTAAATGCTACATGTTTATGAAAATGTAAGTTAATAATTATACGGTTTTATAACTAAGTCCAGATGTAACATGTGAATCTACATTCTTATCTTTAGTTTAATATGACACCTGTGATAGTGATAGCGGTTTTATTACTTTTCTATTATATCATACAAATAAGATAAGTTGTTACACCCAAAAACTATACTCCAGAACACATAAAAATAAACGATTTATGAATAAACGTTATATTTGATTCGTTTCCTATTTTATGTTTTCTTAAAAAAGAAACCGGTTCCACTATTTTATGATCCGTAGATTCGTAAAAATTTACGTACTTTCTTGTAAATAAATAAACGAAAATACATATGAAGTGTTATTCTGCTTCATAAACTGATCAAATTAAGCCCTACGAATTAAATATGTGTTTACTTCTTTTATGTTTTCTCAAAAGATTAAAGAGTAAAAATTAAAATGTTTAAATTTAAATACTCTGTAAATCAAAAGACTTTTAATGTTTCTTCATGTATAAATTTAAAACTAAATTATAAAATTTTCTATAAAGATAATTAATTATGTCAGCGATTAATGTATATGTACGTATATATATGTAAAAAAAAAATATCAATATATGAATATAAAAAATACCGTAAATTGCACATGCATATGTACATATATACTGCAGATTCTATCATTGTATATGTCCTATAGCTTAATGAGTGGCCGCTATATTTACGTGTATCAGCTGTGGAATGACAGGTGGGATAAAAAATGGCTGAAAATGGGTTGGGGTCGGATGCTGGGTCTCAAGAATACCTCGCAACAGAGGTTATTAATTTAGATATCGAAGAGGTAATTAATTATATTCGCTGTAGAAATGTTTAAGTACAGTATAAAATTTCTAATTTTCAGGTTATGTTCTCATAACTCTCTTATTCTATTACTGTTTTAGTATGTTTATAAACTTAGTATAACATGTAGAAATTGCAATTATTTTATTTCATTTTACTTTGTTGATATTGAAATCTATTATATACTTCCTTCTTATTATTTTACCTTTACTTACGTTCTCACTTTACTCTATTAAATTTAATTATATTATTACCTAAATTATCATATTTTATTGCCAAATCTATTGGAGTTATATATATTTTATAATTTTAGTTGGATAACACAGAGTATGCTATACCAGCTGTGGAAGAATTACCCTCCTTAGAAAGTATATTGACAGAACCTGATTGTACATCATTATCTGGAACAGATGATGACTTTGGTTTAACATCAGGTGAAAAGCTAGGGAGTAGTGAAACAACAAGTGTTGGGAGCCATTTATCCTTAAACTCTTTAAATAAATCAAACAAAGCTTCACAACCAACGTCCTCTGGTGCTATTTTGAGACATGTTATATTAAAAGGGATATCGTCACAAATTATATCAGCTAGTGTGAGGGAAAATATTTTCTTTACCAAAAGCCTGTAATTACGTTGAGTTTATAATATATTGTCTTTAATTGTTTTTCTTTTTTTGTATAGGAGAAGGTTAATGCTGGGTTAGCAAGTGCAGTTGCTGCTGGAGGGAATATGTTAGTAGTTGGAACTAGTCATGGTCTGGTATTAGGTTTTGATTCTTCACAGACATTAAGATGGTGTGATCAGGAAGCAAGGCACCAAGGATCTGTATCTGCATTATGTTTCAATCATGATGGAAGCAGGATATTAGCTGGATTTGCTAGAGGACATATATTAATGATAGATAGTTCTAATGGAAAAGTATTAAGGACACTTACTGATGTACATCCTCTTGATACAGCTGTGTTACATGTTAAAGTGAGATTATCTCATATCATTTCACATATAACTGTGACATATAACTTGACATATAATTGTGTGAAATTTTCATTAATAAAAAACAATTTCTGTATAGTTCACAGATTCACCAAAGGTAGCATTATGTAGTGATAGTGGTGGATCCGTTTTTGAATTAAATTTTACAAGGGTTATGGGTGTAAGAGGCTGTGATAGCAGGTGTTTATTTAGTGGATCTAGAGGTGAAGTGTGTACATTAGAACCATTGTTATTGAATCATCTGCCATCACATGCCCTGAAAAATTATACCTTAGTGGCAATGGCAACATTATCAAAGGTTTTTATCTATTGCTAAAAAAGATTTTGATATTTGTAGTATACATGTAATCTTATATTACTTGAATTTTGTAGGTAATAGTAGTTTGCATAAGACCACGAATGCGTGTTGTGTTAACTCATCCTTTATCTGGTGCACCTATAGCACCACCACAACTATCTTGGCAGCTTGTTGTTATACAAGCAGCAGATGCTTCTCGTGTAATTGATCCTGTTCTGGCTCTTGCAAGAGATGATGTGGTTCATTTTTATCAAGTATACAGTTTATATAACATAATTCTATTTATTAAACAACTATATTGCTAATAAATATATATTGATAAAATTTTTTTATTAGGTATGTACTGAAGCTGGTTCAAGAGTAAAATTATCTCCCTTAAGAAGAATGACTCTTCCATATACAATAAGTAACTTACGATGGTTAAATCCGAGATCATTAGCAGTATTGGATACACAAGAAAGATTACATTTATTAGATGTAAGAGCACAGGATAACTTGGAAACTTTAGATATGAGTCGCGTTGGTATTTCATATGCATCTAGCCATTTCAAAGGTCTGTCCACTGGTGGAAATGTTTCAAAGGTATTAATCAAATCATTGTACTATTTAATTATCAATTTTAGATCAATAATCTATCAAATTTAGGTTGATAATCACATTGTTTTGTTTTATAAAACTACAGGCAATGGCATTGGCTGGTGAAAGAGCATGTTATAATACTGTTGTAACATTTGGTACTCAACTTTTACTATTGGGTACCAAAAGTTTACATGTAGTCTGTATACGGACATGGACTGAACGATTGCGACATTTAACGATGCAGGTTCGTACATATATTGGAATTATATAATTTTTTACTTTATTACATATTTTGTCATTTCAGAGAAGATATCCAGAAGCATTAGCTTTAGGACTTTCTTTTTATCAAGATAAAGGGAAAGCAGTTGTTGGTCTACGTGGTTCGAAACAACGTCGTAAACAAATAGCTCGCGATAAAGTATGTCAAGTTTTGATTCAATATATGGAAGAATTGAATCACTGTCTTGCAGACGAAAATGCAGAATTTGAAATAGTCACAACTTGTGTAGATTATTGTATACAACTAGAAAATACAGATTTATTATTTGGAAAATTATGGGACTTAGTTTCGGAGTCCGAAGGATTAAAAGCGAGTTATTTACATGCCCTCGAAAATCCTTTATTGGATGGGAGCTTACGACCGCGACTACCACCGTTAATAGCTCAACAGCTAGTTACCCTTTACGATCAAGAAGAAAAAGTAGATTCGCTTCAAGCAATTATAGTGTTATTAGATGTTGATTGTTTAGATATCCATCAAGTAAGTAAACATATTTATATTTTTTTAATGTTTTTATTTGATTAAAAAAAGGTAATCTATGAAAATTCAATCTAAAAGTACTTACTTGTATCTAAAAATATTATAGGTAACAACACTTTGTCGGCAACGAGGTCTCTGGGAAGCTTTAATACACCTTCAAACGACGGCATTAGGTGACTTTACTGCTTCAATTCATCAATTAGTACCAATATTACAAAATATGTTAACGAATTCAAAGGATTCGTTAACTCGAGATAGTATACAACTTGGCAATGCACTTTTGGTCTATGCTAGTTGCTGTCTTGCCGGTCGTGGTTTTCCCAGAGATGAACTTCCCGAGGGTATGTCCCAAAGAGCAAAAACAGATGTATTAAGAGCATTGCTTTCACAGCATTCGAGTTTGGCTAATGATACAGAAAGACAATATCCGTATCTAAGAACTTTGCTACAGTTTGACGCAAAAGGGTTCCTCGACGTGATAGCAATTGCCTTCCAAGAGCCGGAATTTACGTCTGAGATGGGTCTCAGACAACGGCAAAGACTCATAGATATATTATTAAATATCGTTATGCCTAGCACACCTTTAAGTCCAAGGAATCCTGATTATATTACTGACGAACAGAGAAATTTAGTTCTTATATTTATAGCTAATGAAGTTGCAGAAAATACTGTTAATTTAGAACCTAGTATGTTAAATAAAATGATAGAAATATTATGTACTGACTCAAGTATGGGATCATCAAACGAGCTTAAGACTGATAAAGAAAGTGCAATACTGGGATTATTGCGTTCAAAAAAATTGCGTAATATATCGGATAATACTTTACTTAATTTAGCAGAAAGAGCCAATTTGTAAGTATATGTATATAAATATAAAACTTTACACATGTATACTATTATTTAATTTTGATTGTGTACCACATTTTTATTAGCTAGATAGAATATATTCATAAAAAAAATATTATAGTGTACCTGTCAATATTACATTTCAAGAAATTATATAGCATTATTAATATTAATAGCATCATACATAGTAACTTGTATCGCAGTATATAATGTTACAGTATGCGTGTTGCGGAGTTGCTGTATAGCGCCAGAGAAAATTGGATTGCAGTTTGTAAATGTATGATACTGCATCCATCTAGACATCATGATATTTGGCTCTGGTTAAAACATCTTTCTCC